GTAAAGTCAAGGAAGAGTTTGAGATATTCTAGATTGTAACTCTATGATGCCCTAAAAATGCTCACCTAGACTTCATTTATTCTCAAATTTTATCCTATTTTCTAGCTCAAATTAAAATAACAATTTTAATAAGTAGAATGTGTGAACTGTATTAACCAGCTAAAACTAAATTCAATGACAGTAAAGACCTCTCTAAGCTGGGCCATCCTGATATGAAGAGACCCCTAACCCTGCTTTAAATACTTCCAGCTTTCTTAAATTTCTTAAGGCTAATTACATGTCAGGCAAGGGCTGAAAGAGCCTAAGGATAGGGTGTGAGGAGTAGTTTTTCAGAATAGAGATGGACAGCAAAAAGTTTCTAAAAATTTATACTCATTTAAAATCATTTCTGTGACCATTCTCCTTTAATTCCTAAACTGACACTTCTGTTTTGGCTTCACAAGTTTGGTGTTCAGAGTTCTCAAATTTTTTTTCTGCTTGGTCTAGAGATCAGTTTTCTCACATGACGAAGCCCTGGACTATCTGATTTCTAAATTCTGTTCCAACTCTAATATTCCTTAAGTTTGGGAAACATTTATTTTACTGTAACTTTTTACCTGGGTAATGAATGTAAATGCTTCAAGCTCTCCTAGAAATTCAGACGTTAGCATTAACTTAGGATAGGGCACCTTAATAACTTGAGAACATTCACTGTAAACATCTCATTAACCTTAAATCTGTAAGAATACTAGTGATGAACAGATAACACTATGTGATACAGCTCTACCTAATAAAAGTATGTATGGGTCCCCACTCACCTCTCCTCCAACATACACATTACAATTGAAGGAAGTTAATCTCTAGAATAAATCTATACAGATGTTCTCAGTCCAAAAATATACTTACTACTTCACCCTTGTTTGAGCATGATAGTTCATTCTTTTTTTTTTCCTTTAATTTGTTCTTGACTAAAAATCTAAAAAGAAAGAGGTGAGGACAGCAAAGGCTATGTTCTTTAATTTTGTTACTACAAATAAGAAGAAATAGTTTCTATAACATCAATTCAGGAAGTTCTTGATTCCATGTCCCTACTGATGAGAAAAGAGAGGTGTTCCCACCAACTACCTTCTGTAACATATAAAAGTGAGCATAGAATATAATGAACTTTAAAAAAAGAGAAACAGTTGCTAAATAGGTAGTGCCAGAAATCCAGTAGCATAAAGATCAGCTAAACGCTTTTGTGCTACACCACTGAACAGTTGCCAGAGCACCAGAGATAAGTAGCCTGGACAAGCACACAAAGCTAGGAGGCTACAGGGCTAGGACTTGAACCCATTGCTCAGACTCATCACCTGGGTTAGCAACATCATTGTTACAACTAATGAAACCCAGTCATTACTTATTATTTAACACTGACATTATGTTTAAATAATTTAATTAGTGGTAGAGCTCTTGCCTAGCATGCTCCAGGACCTAGCTTCGATCTTAATGTGCCAGTCTCTCTCTGCTGCTGTCTCTGTCTCTCTATATTCTTCCTATGTAATACAACTCTTAAGTAATAAATAGAATTTTTACATTCTTAAGGCATAATTTGATCTTAATTATATTATATAATGTTATACTTAGCTGTACCTATTAGGAAGCATGACTATACAAAAAGGAGGCATTAGTGAAAAACTAAAGAATGTAATGCTGAAAGCAATACAGAAATTTAACTGTAAAGACTAAGACTATATCCTCAGATTCGTGTTGTTTAAATTTCACCGCATTAATCTGATAAATTACTATGCCCCACAGTACTAAGCATCTAGTTTAATGAGTCCTACTTAAGGACTGAAATTTGAAGCTATTGTCTCCAAGATTACTACTATACAACAAACTCAAGTTTTATTGCCCTATTGCTTTGTAAAATTAGAAGTAAAAAGTAGCTCAACTAAAATTTGGGATTTAGAGAATTAATCCTCTTAATTGCTGAAATCGAGTTGCCTTTATACATTGCTCTGGATGGCTACAGCAGCACTTATTTCTCTGTATCTGTCATCGCTTTACCTCATCAACATTACTAACTAATGAAATGAAAAATAAAAACACAGGCCTACAGTGAACTAGCTTTCAAGGTCATATCAAGTAAAACTAAAAATATGTACCTAAACAACTTCAAATTGTCTCAAAGTTATGTTAGATACTTAAGTAAAATCAGGCACCTCAAGACTAGAAGTGAAAATATATTACAGGACAGTACAGTTAAGTCTTTCAAAGGAACGTACATTGTATTCGAAGGAAGGGAAGAAAAGGGTCTATGGAAAATAACTGGTGAAGACAAGTATACTTTTGGAAACATCCATTTGTTTTGGTTGAAAGAATTCTCCTAAATAAAGTCATCTAAACCGTATTCTTTCTCGCGCTCACAGTCCTTAAAATGGGAAAACGGAAAAAATATCTCGTTACAGCACATTCTATTTTCGCACTAGGAAAGCAAGTCGGGACTCAAGTTCGCGGCTGGTCTGCCACGTGCCCACGCCCGCGCAGCTCCGCAGCCCCTTCCCGGTCACACGCTCGGCGCGGCAGCGGGACACCTGCTTGCAGGTGCCGGGGTGGAGCCTGCGCCCACGGCCACCCGTTCTAGGCATTCGTCCAAAAGGTCGCCCAGGGTCACCCGGAGAGAGGTGCGTCCCCACTGCCACCCCGTCCCAGACTGCGTCCCGTTTCCAGTGATACCAGGAGAAAGAGTCGTCCCTAAGACCACCCTACCCAGGAGAGGCGTCCCCTCTGTCAACAAATGCAAAGAGAGCTCCAATGTCTCCAGGCAGAGGGATGTCCCCAATGTCACCCTGCCCGAAAGGGCTGTCCCCTAAGTCACCGAAGGGGAGGTGCACCCCAATGTCACCGGGGGGAAGGGAGTCTATTGTCACCCTGCCTCAAAGGAGCATCCCCAGTCACCAAACGGAAGTGGCATCCTGCTGTCACCCGACCCTGGAGGGCGTCCTGTTTCCAGGTGAAGGGGACATCTTCCCTGTCACCCCGCACAAGAGGAACTTCCCACGGCCGCCGGCTGCGCGCGGCCGGTTCCCACCGCGCCCTCCGGCCCGCACCGAGGGTACCCTCCCGGATTCCGACTCCACCTCCGCCAGCTGTTCACCTCACCTCATAAGGTAGTCCCGGAAGTCCTTGCTCCGGACATAGTCCGCGGCTTTCCGAACCAGCGCGCTAGCCATGGCAGTGTCGAGTCCCAGGCCGCTCCCAAGCCCCTCGCCTTAGCCGCTCCTGGGAGCCCAATGACACTCCACCTACCCAGCTTCAGCCCAGAGCACTCCTGCCCCGTAGGCCCGCCTCACGACAGTTGGCCCCGCCTTACGTCCGAGGCACGCCGCAGCTCTCGACCTATGGCAGGACAGAAGACGGGCGCTAGCGGTGCTGATTGGTTGACGTGGGCAGCACACCTCCTTCCCGCCCCCAGTGGCGTGCGAGAGGCGGGGCTTGTGTCGTAAAACCGCAGGGCCCAGGCTGGGATTGGTGGTTGTCGTTGGGTCCTGCGGCGCCCTCGGAGGTGCAGAAGTGCCAGCCCACTGCTTCCTGGGCTGAGAGCCGCCGGGAGGTGGAGGCGGGCGAGCGGGCAGGCGCGTGGGTGGGTGGCGACGTTCGTGCGCCGCCCATCGCCCAGAGCAGTGTCTTTGACCTTCTTGGCAAGGGCACTTTAGTGGGTGGCTCGTTCATTCCTCTTCTGCGAGCTGAGTCGACCTGAGGGTGGGACTCATCTGCCGCGGAGCCCGCCAAGCCGGAGCTCTCCACCGCAGCCCAGACTGACCTCCCCAGGGTCGCGGAGGATCCCGGGCAACCTGCGACTGGCACAAGAGGAAGTGAGCTAGGAGCCGGTTAGGAACAAATTTAATAATAGCACAAAGCCGTAGTCCCGAGAAGTGGGACAGCCTACATGCTGAAAAGAAACGCGTCAGACCTGCCTGCATACTGAAAGACCATTAGCAAGGGTTCCGCGTCAGGAGCTTGAAAAGGTTGGGACTCAAAGAGTCACACCCTTGTCTTGATTTAGAGGAAAAGCGAAACATAAGACCCTAAAGACGCTTATGTCTTGCCCCAAGGGCAGTTAAAGGCTTTCTGGAAGTTCCCTTTTCTAAACCTCAAAAGGCCAGACTGCAAAAGAGTATACAAGTCCTCTCCGTCCTTGCCCTGATCACTCATTATTTCAGAAAAAGAAGACATAACTATAAAAGCCCCACAAGAAAGGGCTTTCCTTACACGATGATGGCTATAACGTGGGCTAATTCAAGTGTCAAAGACAATCTTATTCCAAGCTACACCGTCTCAAAAACTGTTTTCCCCTTTATTAGTTTCTGAATAATGCTAAATAGTTGGATGGTCGCGCCCGTGTGAGTTTCTCCTTTTGTAGGCTAATACACTTCTGTGCTGAACTCGGTGTGGTGGCATGCTAGTGGAAGCTGAGGCAAAAGGATCACAGATTCCACTCAGCCTGGGAATGGGGCAGTTTGTAAGATCTTATCTCAAAACGGCTGGGAATGTGAAGGACCTGGATTTAGTCCCAATACAAAAAACAAACAAAAAAAACTGCTTGACCCACTTATATCAGTTTATTTCAGCAAATTTTGGGAGGGTCTAGGGAAAATTCCCCTTCTTACAAAAACCCAATTTTCAGATTATATGCCAAAGACAAGAAAACATGGAGGGCTGGGTGCAGTGACACCCAGGCCTATAATTCCAGTGCTGGGAGATTTAGGTAGGATCACAAGCTCATGTCCTGCTTAGACAATTTAGTGAGACGCTATCTCGAAAGGGCTAAGGATGTAGCTTAGTGTGAAGGCCCTGTGTCAGTCCCTAGTACCAGAGGAGGGGTGGTGGTGGTGGGATTTGTACTTCAGTTTTCCAGGTTGTTTTTCATTTGTAGATATTACCCCCTGATGTAGAGTGAGTCACATGCTCATCAAAGTTCCAAAAGGACAGTCACAGAACAACAGGCTTGCCTCAGGATTTTTTGTTGACTGTTAGCACAGAATCACCAAGCTTGGATGGAGGCAGGAGGTCAGGGCATGGCTGGATGTCTGGGCAAGTGGGTGTGACCAGTCAGTCCCAGAGCTCCAGGTCATGAGCAGAAAATCAGTTAAAAGACCTACATCAGGAACCAGTCCAAAACTGCCATCTTCAGTTCTTACAAAAACTCTAGCAATTTTTTGGTAGGACAGCCTAGATCTGACATCTGCTTGTGTATAAAACATGGCCACCATGAAGTTGGTAGCCACTATAATGGTGAGTCTATGGCATGTGTGTTATTGTGTTACTGTTTGAGGACAAACAATGTTAATGGACAGTTACTTTTTCTAAACTAAAACTTCAGTTTTCAGGTTTACTTGCAGTGTTGGCACTTGCAGCAAATACATAGGTTTTCAGCTGCATTTTGGCACTCTGTCTCTAAAAGGTGTGCCATTTCTGCACTATGAGTTTCCTCAGTGGCCTGCACTCTGCAGAGAATACTACTTTTCCTATCTTTAATGAATATAAAACCTTACTGCCTTTTTTGTTTGTCTTCACCAATTCTTTGCTCAGGGCAGCAAGAACCTTGAAGACATCTCTAGAAGGTGCACCTGGAGCCTGGTAATAGGACGGGCTTCTAGAATTGAAGCTAGAAGGATCCCCCTGAGGCTCGTGAGGACAGGTGTGTGCTGCACGAAGGGTTAGATCCCCTGCCCAGAGCCTTGCCAGTTGCCACCATGCAGCAGGCACCTGAGAGCACGGCCTGTCCGAAAGGAGCCTTCCTTCTTCCAGAGGTGAGACCCTTACACAACTCATGACAGCAACTGCCCGACTTCAGTTTTTACCCCTGTGCTCTAGGATAATAAACTCCCATCATCTGAAAAGTGCTTGTTCATTTCAGAAATAAATGAAAATGGTCTCCTCCAAAGAATTTCTATTGCTCTTATAATTATCTCAAATGACAATAGCTATCTACATGTTCAACCACTGACTGGGATTAATGTTACTTTCCATTTTTTCAAAAACTATATATATATATGTGTGTGTATATTATTAATTTGACTATACAATTGAAACATGATAGATTGATTGATTGATTGATTGAATGATTGAGAGAGAGTCCCACTTTATAGTTCAGGCTCAACTTGAACTCACTATGCTGTGTAGTCCAGGCTGGCCTTGAACTTGCATCTATCCTCCTGCCTTAGCCTTCCAAGTGCTGGGATTATAAGCATGTACCACCATACCCAGCCTGAAACATTTAAAATATATTTTTATTTTTAATTGACAGTTGTAGTTGTATGTATCTGTAGGGTACAGTGTGACTTTTTTTTTTTTAACATGCTGGGAATGGAATCCAGGGCCTGGCATATGCTAAGCACATACACTAACCACTGAGATGCATGCCTAGCCCCAGATTTTTCTATATCTCTATCTCTATCTCTATCTCTATCTATCTCTATCTCTATCTATCTATCTATCTATCTATCTACCTATCTATCTATCTATCTATCTATCTATCTATCTATGTGATTTTGGTGATCAGATCAGGGTGAATGGCATATCCACCCTCTCAGGAACTGAACATCACCTGTGTTAGTAATTGAAACAACTTTCTATGTCACTAAAGTATTTTTAGTGATATGCACTTTCTGCATCATTATGGACTTTTTTTCACAAATCTGCCAGCATTTTTAAACTGGTGCATTTATTTTGATTAATTCACTTTCTGTCTCAACAGGGAGCTTTCCCATTAGGCCCACACTCTCCATCTGGCTGCTGATTAGCTGTAAGAACACTTAGCACCCTTATTTCTCCTCTTACTCTTAGTTCTCAGCCACTTCACCTGACAGAAGAAGAGCTTCCAGTTAGATTAAAGTAACTGTTTTTCTTTTCTTTTACCAAAATCCTCTGAGTATGAGTTAGAGTACTTCATCCCACAGGATACTCAGCATACTGTCTTCATCTCTTCATCTGGAGGGGCAGACGGGGTGTCTGATTGTCTGTCTGGCAAGGTTGTTATGATGACAAAGGCAATTTTCCTGGGAGTGCACATTGGACTGTGCAAGTGCTTTATTATATTTATAAATAGATACATTTTTTGGGTCACCGACCAGCATTCTTTGGCTTAGCCCTTGCCTCTATTTTTCCTCAGTGATGTAGTGCACATTAATTTGGTTGATTCATAACTGAAAGCATGTTGAAAATGAGTGAACTAAGAAACAGTGTCACTAAATTCAAAGCCCAAGGTGCCCTTTCTAATAAGACTACACTACCTGGCATGTGTGAGGCCCTGGCTTCCTGACCCAGCACTGTCCCCAGGACCCAAATGCACATGGATAGTAACATTTTAGTCACTTTATCTCTGCCTGTCCTGCCTCTGCTGAGTCCATTTTGCCTGCTTGGGGCAGGATGAATCCTTTCAGGTGAGTGGCTCCTGCCTCTAATTTACCCAATAGAGATTATTAAACTAACCTGTTGGGCTTTGTCCTTCAGTAATATATTGCCCACAAGAGCTTTTGCTCAGCATCCTTGTTACAAGTTTAAGGTTCTCACCTTGTGGAGAGACGTTACAAAGAAATGGTCTCAAGAGAAAGAAAGCTCAGCAACTTGTCATGAGTAAACTGGTAGAGGGAGAAAGAAAATAGAAACACCACTACCTCCCAGTCCTTGTGGAGGGGCTGGGCAGCAGTCAGTAGATTCTAAAAGCCCACGTAGAAAGATGAGGAGGAGATGGATCATGGAAGGGTATGACCTATAGGTGACCTTTTGTGGAGAAACATTGCGCTACTTATAATTTAAATTGTACTATAGGCCTTTAAGGGCTTCTGTGGATACATCTGGGAAGACATAAAGTGAGAAAGGAAAGAAAGGAGAGAAAAGATGGGATCTTATATATGTCTCTGAGGTCAGGCCACATGAGATTCCCATCTTATTCTGAGGTACAGCTGCTTGCACAGCCTGCCCCAAGCCATGGTCACATGTGGGAAGCCCAGCCCATTTCCCAAAGCCAGAGCTGCCGATGGAGTAGCTCTGCTCTATTACCCCAGGATCAGAACTATCTGCAATAGGCAGCTCTGCCTGTTACACCTGATTGGAACTGTCCAGGGGAATGGCACTACTCTAATAACCTGAGTAGGGATTGCCAGTGGTGCAGCTCTGTTCTGTTTTCTGTCACTGACTACCCTGGCATCCCTGCTAGTCATGCAGAAATCTATTGCTCTGCCCAGAACAAGCATCCTTGTTCCTGGTACATAGCTGCACCAACATTCATCAGCAGATGTCAAAATCAGGAAAAGTTGTAGGCAGCAGCTGGGCTTTACTCAA